CACAAATACAAGTAAATATAAGTTCGCATCCGCTAATTAGAGACCGTACCGTTTGTTTCATGAAGAGGAGGGCGGGCCACTGGCAAGCGACTCCGACGTACCAGGACCTTCCGCCACCGCCATGGTTTCTTAATCCCACCCTAGCGACACCATCTAAACAATCCGCTAAGTAACAGTAAACACAAATACAAGCAAATATAAGTTCGCAAACGCTAATTAAAGACGGTACCGTTTGTCTCATGAAGTGGAAGGCGAGGCACTGGCCAGCGACTCCGACGTAGCAGACAGGAGCTACCGGAACCGCCATGGTCTTCTCTTCTTCGCTTGGCAGAGAAGCCAGATCCGACCTCTCGTGATCGAGAGATCTACCAAGACAGAGGAATTCGGTACGACACCCTTTCGAATTCGAGGAGCCTTTGGAGGCACTGAGGAAATATCCGGTGCTGTGGAGTATTTTCCTATTCAATGGACGAGCGGTGATGGACAATCCAGATTCATTTATAAAGTGGATAATTTCTTATCGAAGAAGATAGGTCCCTTTGAACGTCGTAGGCACTGAGGAAATATCCGGTGCTGTGGAGCATCTTTCCATTCAATGGAACGCGGTCATAGACGGTCCAGATTCATTCATAAAACGTTAATTTCTCAATCGAAGATATATGATTTGCAAGTCATTCATGGGGCATATCTGACACAATTCACCTGTGTGAGAAAAAAAAAAAAGAAAAGGGGTTAACCCTTTAGAGGAACCTATCTCCAATTAATGATTTACAAGTTATTTTTTTAATAAACAGTGATACAGAGACAATCTTTTTATATTACATTTACAAATAATTTTTATATATTATTAAATAGATAAACACATTTAATATCATTAGTCTCAAATAAATAAAAAAAGTTGATAATTTAAATCACATGTAAAATTATATAAAAATATGATACAAAAAATTATTTTTATATTACCGTCCATTAAAGAAAACAATTTTACACACCACACTTCAAAGCTTGACTATTCATCTCATGGAAGATGTACACAAAATGGTAATTTCTCATCAAAGATGTATGCAAAAAGGTGGCTTAAGTTTCACGCATCATATTTATATAAAATTTTAATTATTCATCTCTTTATTTTTGATAATTAAAATTTATTATGACTTTTTAAGTAAAAAGGATAATTATTTTTAATAAATATAAAAAAATAAATAAATCTCAATTATTAAAAGTGTAAAGATAAATAATTTAAATTTTGTATAAGTGTGTGTTTACACTTATTTTTGCAAATCAAATAAGATAGTGGGATATGTCATTCATGTTGGCAAATCTTGTTTGATGATTAAATATTGATGATTTAAATGCAACATTTTAAGGATAACCATAAGCAATTCAAGGGGCTATAACATATCAAGTGTTGAAGGAGTCAAAAGCCAATAACTACAATCTTATCTTCACATCAATGTGGATGTTTTTTGCCACATAATCAACAACAATGGTTTCGTTGGGTGGTTGTGGATTTGATGCTATCGCAAGTTGTCAACATGCTTGCATGGACATTTTGCATTATAAATATATAAGAATGAAGTCAAGCACGCAAGACTTGCCTCTTACATAACTTGCCTAGCGCTATTTGCATTTCAATTTTCACAAGTAATGTCTTAATTTAGCTCTATGCTTTCTCAAATAACCTTTTTAGTTTAATTGTTAGTTCTACACTAGCACCAACTTTTGCTCTAGTTTTTGTTATTTTGTTTTGAACATCATCATTGATGTATTTGATTTGGAAATTTACTACATTTTGCTCTAAATTCATCTTCCTAGCTTCCTTTAAGTTTATATAGTTTTATGCTTCCTTCATTGCCCTACATTTATTTCATTCTTTACACCTTCATGCTTTCACGATAACATCATGCTTCCTCCTTGCAATTTAGTTTTCCTCCTTGCAATTTAGTTTTCCTCCATGCACTTTCTTTCTTCTTCCTTCCTCTATTTTTCTCTTTTATTTTGACTAGAAAACTAACATTTTGCCCTTAGATGTGAGAAGTCCTCAATGTTTTTCCAATGCAATAATTTATAAACTTTTATGTAAGAATACACTGTTGTTTCTAAACTTTTATGTAAGAAGACACTATTGTTTCTGTGACAATTGTCTAACCAAGGTACATCTTGTTATTTAGTTAACTGACACCCTTCTCTTAACTCGCAACAGAGTTCCATGCTTGGAAATAGAGAGAGTTGTTGAGAATCCTTCTTTATCACTTTAAGCAAAATAAGTGGCATGTTTTTGCAATTTTATTTATCACGTGGTTGAAAAAAGAAATTTTAGAAACAACAATATGGTATATAAAATTTGTGTGAAAGTGGATATTAACTCTAATCTTTAAGTATCAAAATATAAATAAAACTTTTTATTTATTATATATTGTAATTATCTTTTTAAAATAAAGATAAAATAAAAACAAAAGTATTAAATGACATTTTAAAAATAAAAGTGAATCTGACTAAATTTGAATGGCATAAACTAAGTTCATTAAAATTGATCATAGAGAGAGACAAATAACAATTAATCAAAAATGTCTCCCAAAAAAAATAAAAAGTCGATCACATAAATTAACGTTTGATTAATGCTCTAAGGTCACGGTAGTACTTAGCAAGCCATCGTTTAATGATCTTGACCTCCTTTTCTCGCTGCTTCACCAACCATGTCGGATCACTCTCGCTTGAGATACCTACGTCCCAGCAATGGAATCCTGCAAAATAAATCACACCAAATATGTCATTCATCGTTTTTTCATACAACTGATTATGCGCCATCTGTTTCCAAACGTAATAAATTTCTTAATTGCACTCAACCTATCAGAATAATAATAATAATAAATGGATCAAAATTTAAGACTAATGACATCATTTAAAATATTTAAACTTAGATATTATATTATTAAATAATTAATTTTTTTAAAAGGACAATGATTGGTGCACACCTGGATCCAACACCTGGGTGTGCACCCCCCACATAAAAAAAAAATTAAAGTGCACACATCATTTTCCTTTTTAAAAATATGTAATATTATATTCATTAAATCATTTAAAACATAATTATCATTGATTTCAAATTTTCATCTTCCCTATTATCATTCCTATCATCACCCATTAAATAAAGAAAGAGATTGAACCTATATGTAGTATTTTATAATTCAAATTAATCTTTGGTTTGTAATGTCAACGTAGTTTAATGCAAAGTACCATTTTGGGTAGAGACGGCAAGCAGACTATTTGATAGGTTTTCCAATATCCTACAGTTAGAAAAGACGTAAACAAAACATTAGACAAATAAAACAGAGAAAATTGATAATATAAAATTTCTACTTCTTAATTAATAGTTGTTTTTAAAAAGAAAAAAAAATTGGAGTTTGATCTTTTTTTATCATTACCCTCCACTGCTATGAGGATCCTTAAGCCCAGTGGCGAAGCCAGGGGGTGCGAAGGGGGCACTCGCCCCCCTTGAAATTTAAAAATTTTGTAACTTAGTATATGAAAAATTATCTAGCCTCTTTTGAACTTTAAAAATTTTAGTATTTTCCCCTCCCGAAAAAAATTTCTGCCTCCGCCCCTGCTTAAGCCCATTTGAGAAGATAATGTTGCTACCAAATCTCCGTAAGACTAATTTTATGTCCTGCAATTAATTTTCAATCAATGTCGATGATCAAATTAAGTAGTTTATATGAAATAAAATTTTTAAAGGAATACTACGTACATTGCCTCCATAATAAGTAGTAACCCAATGTGGTCGAGGACGGACACCGTACGTACTCATGCACTCATCCTCGAAGCTTTTCAGATCGGAAGGATCATAAGGAAACATTGTATCATTGCCGCCGTTTTCAAAGGAGCCACCATCTCACTGCATACCTACATACAATGATAATTAAAATTAAGATTAAAATAGTTTTGATAAATCAACATTTAAGAAAGATTTACTAAAAATATTTTTAATAATTTCATATGAAATTTTAATATTTTAATTTTTAAAAAATACTAAAACATACGTATTGATTTTGACTCTTTTCTAAATTATATTTATATACATACCTGCCATGGCCAAGATAGGTCTGTTTCTGACTTGTTAGTCGGCTTATTAACGTGGCATGGCCAATCAGGATATGTAGCAACTACGCCTGCAAATATTTTGCTTAGAATATCGTTAGAAGAAGCTCCATCAATGGCTCCACAGACCACGTTAATGGGCGGCGAATCATATTGAGCTGCGCCCTCGTAAATAAGTTCCAGAAAGTTCACCAGCTCAGAAGTATTACTCAACGGTCTAAAAAATAAATCAGTAAAAATGGAAAAAAAAAAAAATCAGACTACATAACCAAGTGATGTATGTATTTAATTAAAGAATGGTGCTTCGTAAAAAATGGTGGAAAGATTTATATATATATATACTGGCAAGTATTAAATTTTTGGCTGAGGAGTGCAAGTCCGTTGGGCATTGAAGCAACGCTATCAATCACAGACCATGATTTTCGTATTGTGTGGTAGCATGTCTCGCTGACTTCCTTCACGTATTCAAAAATTCAATTTAATTAATTTATTAACAAAAATAAATATTGAAAACGAATTAATTAGGGAGATGTGAATCTTCAGGTTGATATGTATAAAAAAATAAAAATAAAAATAAAATGTAAAATTGCATGCCTATAAAATATCATTAATATTTAAATAGTTTTACAAATATATAATTTACTAATACTTTTTTTTTATAGTATTATAGATTGATTTTAGAAACATTATTTTAATTAATTAATTAAAGAGAAATGAAAAATAGGTACAAGTATAAATGTTATGCACGTACCTTAAAGTCGTTTGAGACAACGGCAGTGTACCCATCCGGTGGTGTTAATTTGATATTCAAAAAAGTCAAGGATGGGAGCTGAAGAGGCCAATGCTCCAACGGCAATGTGAGGATATTTTAGCCGAAACCATGCAGCAAGCACTATTAATTGATCAGTTCAATCAAAATAAAAAATAATTCCGTTAGATATACAATATATATATATATGTGTTACAAAACAAAAAAGTTAGTATAAGAAGTCAGTTACTTACGTCCTCCATATATATGATGCACCGATGACAATCACTGGGGAGTGTTGGGCATGCAGCTTTTTCTTTATATGTAATAAGATTTCCGCATAATCTGCAATGGCTTGCGCTGAGTTGAAATAACCGAATGTGCTTGCATTTCTCATTGCTTCTTCTCTTGATCCGAATGGAATTGAGTGTCCATAGTAACGATGCTGAGTACACATGGGATTATAAATAAATACTATAAATAAATTAATAACATAATCAAAAGCTTAACTTTTTAGTCAAGATGGGTTTTGAACTTTTTATCC